CGATTCATTCAAGAACAAAACACATCGATGTTCAGTATCACTTTGTTCGTGAAGTGGTGGAAGATGGAAGTGTGGATTTTTAGAAGGTTCACACAAAAGAAAACCCAGCAGATGCTTTGACGAAACCGGTCAATACTGATAAGTATATATGGTGCAGATCCTTTTATAGCCTAACAGAAACGTAAACAGCATGAAGATGACAAGTATAGAAAGGATAGAAGAATCACGGATAATCAAGTGTGAAGACTTGATTAAATCATCAAAGTTTTCAAGTGGGAGAATGTAAAGCCACCACTTAATTAATTGGTGGAAAAAAAAATGATTGAAGTTATTGGCATAATTAGAGGTGAGTTGTTGACATAATTGGTGGAGTTATTGGCATAATTGGTGGAATATAAGTGGAGATGAGTTGTTGGCATAATTTATAGCATAATTGGTGTCATGATTTATAACCGTTGTCCCCTCACTCTTGCCTATAAATAGGCAATGCCTCCAAGCTTATTTTGCACACCAAGATAAAGAGAAGAAGAGGAGAGTGAAGAGAGAGTAATCCCACAAAATTATGAGGTATTTGTAAGAGAGTAAGTAAGGTATTTTTTTCTAGTAATAAATAGATTTTTAATTGTTCTTCTATTATTTGAAAGAGGTTGTAATTCCCACATTACTTAATAAAATCATTCTATACTTACCTGTAGACGTAGCCGAATTGGGTAAACCATGTAAATTCTTGTATATTTTATTTTTTATTTTATCTTATTCCTTGTCTTTTATCTTATCGGATTTCCATACCAGTATCTTAATACCATAGAGGTCAGCCGCCCACTGCACTTACTCATCTTCCTTTCCCAATCTCTGACAGCTGACCCAACAGTCCCATCACCGGCCTTCACATTTGGAAACTCGAAACCGGGAGTGGGTGAGTAAACATAGAATGTTTGGTTGGGAGTGTGTCTTTTGGGTATTTTCTTTTTCTTTTTTTTAATGTTAAAAAATAAAAAGAATTTTTTTTTTTTTAATTTGCATATGATAAAATCGTATCTATTTCACAAGAAATTTCAAGAAAATATTTTGACATGTATTTGGGGGTTTAATAACTAGTTTTATTAATTAAAGCCTTGATAGTTATTATGTAATTTTGGAGTGTGAGCTTTAAAGAACAGCAAGGGAAGGAAAAACTCACAGGAAAGTTATTCCCGTCATATTTGCATATTTTGGGAAAGGGAAACCGGCCGAGCTTCTTACGTCACTAACATACCTGGAAGAAAAACCATCCAGAATAAAAAAATGCATTTATTTCTTGTAAGTGTTAAAATTATAGAACACTTACAAGTATTCGAGATTTGACATGTTAAAAAGAAGTTCAAGAGGCAGCTCTCCTTCAAAATCATTCCCGGAGAGGGACCTGTCATCAGTACACAAGAACACCAATTATTGAATGATATCCTTCGATCATCGACAGTTTCTCAGTCCAATAATATTACAGAAAGCACAAGTAATTTCTTACAGGTAATAGAGTTGAGTCCAATTCGCAATGAACCTTGGTATTTGACCGGTCAAACGGTTCCCACCTACGCCACTGCAGCCATAGTTAGTTGCTTTTCCTTGGAACAATAATTAAACAGATTGTTGGTTGAAATAACATGATGAGTTGCACTTACAACCACCCCAATTGATCCGAAGTAAAGTGGGAGCAATTTCCCTGCAAGTCTCCACTCAAATTGTTGGAGCTCAACTCTCTACAACAACAAATCAAAAGGATTGTAATCCACCCTTTTTCTATTTTATTTCTCCTCTTACTATCTTCCGTGGTTTTACAAGGTGGTATGATATTATTATGCTTCTTTTTGAAACTTACAAAGCATATAGAGATCCCAATCTTCCAAGTTCTGGTGGAAGCTGACCAGTGAGTTCATTGAAGGCCAAGTTCCTAATTAAATAAGAGATAAGGAACCAAACAAAACTCAATAAGTTAAACGGAAATTCAAGCAGAACGAAAGAGCGAGCGAGCGAGTTTCTATACATCACTCGGAGATTAGAGAGGTTGCCCAATTCTTTTGGGATTTGACCTGATAACATATTACACCACAAACTCCTGAAAACACCCACAAGAATAAGAGCACAAAGCTTGCATCGATTAGCAATAGAAAAAGAATTTAATTCACATTATATGATACTGAAAAAACTGTGATTGGATGACACGTACAGATATTTGAGGAACGGCAAATTCCCCAAAAATGAAGGTATGGAGCCATTGAGGAAGTTTCGCGAGAGACGGCTATGCATATGTATTACCATATAAGTTCATTATTACTCAAATAAGAACCGATAATTTAAATTTTATGAATATACACTAAGAGCTGAAATTAGTTATTATATATGATCCAAAAGCTAAGAAGCTCTTTGCTCATAACCATGCAGACAGCCAAACAAGGATTTTATCCAAATTACATAAGAGAAATGAACCAAACAGAACTCAGAAGTTAATTTTTGTGACCATTAACACCTTGACATGAACATTTATAAGTATCAAGTCCCCAAACGGCTTGCCCTTATTTTCATTTCTAACAAAACTAATTTTACTTGAAAATGTTTCACCAAAAATACTATTAAAAAATCGTAATTATTACAACTACAAGTTTAATCTATCAATTGTCTATTCAGTAACTTCTTCTTATAATGAAATAAATATGAGTTCTTAACTCAAATTTTCACCATTGTAATATAATTATGTAGTCCTAACCACTTTATTCTCCGAATGAAAATGAAATTTTAACTATTGGGTTTTTGGAACTTATCGATGGAATCTAAGTATTTAATGGATTATAATTTAAAAGAAGTGATTTTAGGAAAAAAAAAATGTTAGATTTGTGTGTGCGTGGGCTTGTGTATTCTGACAATGGATTATTAATGCTTTTTTTTCTTACCATTATATATTATTTTTTAAAAGAACAGCAATGGTATAAAATCAAACCCAAATATCCAAGATGTTTCTCCTATAATTAGTTTTGGTTAGTGCCATTTGCTTTTTTTTTTTTTAAAAAATTTGATTATGGATAGTTTGCTTTTAACTATATTAGAAGACTTGTATCAACAATGGAACAAGAATTTAATTCATATTATATGATATACTGAAGAGACTGTGATTGGATAATACATACAGAAATTGGAGGGATGACAAATTCCCCAAAGATGGAGGTATGGAGCCACTGAAGAAGTTTCTGGAGAGATCGCTACGCATATGAATTACCATATAAGTTCATTATTACTCAATAGATAAATTAAGAACCAATAAAAGCTTAAATTAGTTATTATATATGATCCAAAAGCTAAGAAGCTCTTTGCTCATAACCATGCAAATATCCAAATAAGCATAAACATGGTTAAGCAATTAGCCAAACAAGGCTTTTATCCTAATCACATAAGAGAAAAAAAATCAAACAGAACTCAGAAGTTAATTTTTGTGACCATTAAGGCATTAAAACCTTGACATGAACATTTATAAGTATCAAGTCCCCAAACGGCTTGCCCTTATCTTCATTTCTAACAAAGCTAAATTCTATTAAAAAATCTTAACTATTACAGCTACAAGTTTAATCTATCAATTGCCTATTCAGTAACTTCTTCTTTAATTTAAAGAAGGAAATTTGAGTTCTTAACTCAAATTTTCACCATTATAATATAATTATGCAGTCCAAAACACTTTATTCTCCGAATGAAAATGAGATCTTAACTATTATTTGATGGAATATAATTTAGAAAAGTAAATGTTAGATATAATTTCATACAACTCTTAAAAACAGAAGTTACTAATTGTATGATCTTTTCTTACCATAATATATTATTTTTTAAAAGAACAGCAATGGTATAAAATCAACTCCAAATATCCAAGATGATACTTATAACTATATGATACTGAAGAGATTGTGATTGCATGATACTTACAGATATACAAGGGACGACAAATTCCCCAAGGATGAAGGTATGGAGCCTTTGAGGAAGTTTCTCGAGAGGCCGCTTTGCATATGTATTGTAATATAAGTTCATTATTACTCAAATAAGAGCCAATAATATAAATTTAATGAAGACACTGAAATTAGTTATTGTATATGATCCTAAAGCTAAGCAGCTCTTTGCTCATAACTATGCAGACAACCATGGAGGAAGTTTTCGGAGAGATCGCTATGCATATAGGAAGTGGGAAGACATTCACAGTACATTAATGGAAATATAACAAAAGATTACAAACATTAAATGATGAATCAATACAGATTTCTTTACCAGAAAGAAGGGCACTTTTTTCTCTCTCTCTTTTTTTTTTTTTTACTTTTTCAAAACACACATCTAAATTATACTTATAATATACCTTTTCTCTTTAATGAAACAATAGAAAAAAAATACTCATATTTAATTTAACATATCTACATATATTAATATTAATGATTAAAATATTATAAAGTTATTTGGGATAATTATATTTGAGATGAAACGAGATATATATATATATATATATATATATATATATATATATATGCGCGCTCTTTTAATTAACAATTGAAATTAATTGTTTTAAATAAATACTTCAATTTAATGAATTTATTAATTAATGATCAACATCTAATGTATCTTTTTATGCAATATGATCTTTGATTGCATTGGATACACCCATAGACAGGTTGGTTGTGTCGGATCGCAATTTTCAGATTGCCTTTACAGACTTGATCCAGTTTAATTGCTGGTATAAAGTATATTTTTTGGAGTATGGTTGGAATTCATCAAGATGCTACCCAGTTTAATTGTCTTTTTATCTATAAATTAATATATAAAAAATGAAGATTTACTATCTAGTCTTATTTTTTTAATGTTGTCTATCAAATAATAAAATTAGTTAATAAACATCTTTTTTTATATTTATTTATTTTTATTTATAAATCAAATTAGGATAAAAAGATTTTTTATTGGTTCTATTTTTTGGATGTTGTCCATCGCGTAATAAAATTGATTAATACATAACTTAATTTTTCATATTCATAATGTAATTTAATTTTGATTGCACCATTTCTCCGAGAAAGGGATTTAATTTTAATTGTGTCTTGTATTTTTTTGGTTGTTTATACAATATTGACCTAAGGATTGTAAGACTTTAATTTTGTGCTTTCCCACGAGAATGTTGCATTAAGGATAGACAAGTTGATTAATGTACAATGCCTATTTTCTATATACAAAATATTATTTTCATATTTTGTTATAATTTGGATATGTGAGTTTGGGGATTTCCTTGATAATGCCCTTCCAAGATACAATTTCAGTTATCTAGTCAACCATAGTCTAAGCAGTGGAATTAATTACCTATAGTGACAATATTATTTTTAATTATAAATGTAAATATTCTAAAACATTAATATTATTTTTTTATTAATATTCATTCATGATTTGAATTTTCTATGTCTAGTTTGAATGCGTGTGAATGATTGTTTACTTGTTTTAAGATACATTTTCTTGATATGATAAATAAATTTGGGATAGAGCTTGAACGTGTTTTTCAATCAATATTATCATGAACGTGCTCAAGCCCTTCAATTGCTCACAATCCTACAAGTCCAATACACATCTTTATAACAGTGGGGATTAGGCCATTTTCAAGCCGTTAAATTATGCAGCCGAACTTTTATCTTGATTCTTTTAGAAAATAAACCGCAGTAGTAGTAAATAACCATGGTACTGGATCACTTACAGTTCTTTGAGTGAAGGCAAGTTCCCCATGGTGACAGGGATGCTACCATAAAGTTGATTGTTGGACAAATCACTGTTATTAATGTAACAGGATTGTTATAAATTAGTTGAGCTCAGCATACTGATTCGAATGATCATCATCACATGTCATATGATACTCACATTTTTTCTAGGAAAACGAGACTAGTCAAGGCTGTAGCGTTGATTTGTCCGGTTAATTCGCGGTTTGAGAGTTCTCTACCACCCAAAAATGGCGTCAACATAGAAACCAGTGAGTTTTAAAGAGGATGCATTGCCTTACAAAAATAAAATAAAATTGGATGAAGTTGATGAGGAACTTACAGGC